CTTCCTTTCCCGCAAAGGACACATACTCTCAAACAAAGTTCTGACTGTTGTACAGTTGAGAGATGCCTCCTATCATGTGCCTGGAACAGCCACTATCAACAAACTGGAGTCTGATGATATGCCTCCATAGCTGCTCCAGCACAGAGCGAGATCAGTTGATCTTTGGAACCCAGTCCATTTTGAAACTGGGTTGGCCTTTGTCGTCTTTGCAAGGAATTCTCTCCCATGACATATCCTGTTCACAAACATAAGATGCAGAAATATTAGAGTCATTAGGTGATTTGGGAGATTGAGCCTTCGGAACCCATTTGTTGTTGGGTTTAACCCATTTCTTTTTCGAGCGGATGGGTGCCTCGACACTTGATTTTGAACTGGAAGCCGATCATCGAGATGACTTTGACCTAACCGGTCTTGATTTCACTGGAGCATCTCTTGATCTTTGCTTCTTGGCCGACATTCCCTTCTTGTTGTTGGGAGTTGATTTCTTGGCCTTGGGAGTTGAATTTTTGCCCTTCATGGCATTCCAGTCGCCATTGTCTGAATGTGACCTTGAGGGGTTTCTTTTGGAAAATCTCCCTCTTGGCACATTTTGCCATCCTTGTGCGTAGTAGGGAACGTATGCACGATTAGGACAATTTCTGGCAATGTGTCCAGGTGTTCCACAGTGAAAGCAAGTCTGCTTCTTCACGTAGGAGTTGTTTCTTCCTGCCCATGGTGGCATATCCATGCCTTGTCTCTTACTGTTCCCACATGCACACTTGCAGCAAGCACTCTGTTTCGCTTGTTTTGGTGGCCTGTATTTCTCAACATCAGGTTGATGAGAAGCAACTGAGTTCGAAGCAACAGATTCAGAGTTCAAGGAGACATTGGTTTGATAATCATCAGAATTTGCAGAACTAGAATTAGTTCTGTTCTCCTTGTCCTCATCCTCTATTACTTTACCTGCACAAGAAGTAGAAGCATTAGAATCGTTCAGCTCAACACCCTCAGTTGCCTGTTGAGCAGCTGGTTTACCATATACCATAAATGGTTCTCGGTCAATCTCTTCCTGAGTCAAAGGACTAACAGTATAAGTGTGATTGAATGGAGGAGGGACACTTTCATATCCTATTCCTACTTGCTTTTGGTCCTTCCATTTCATTAGTTTTTCAATCATTATTGCCACTTTGTCACTTGACACATCGAATTTTTTAAAGTTGAAATCGGCATTTTCAAAACGTATTTTCCAATTTTCAAGTTCCTCAATGACAGCAGCAAGTTCTTTCTGAAGATATCTATAATTGACACACTTATTGTTATAGTCCTCTTGTAGTTTCCTGAAGTCCTTAGTTTTGGCCTCTAGTTGTTCTTTCAATGGTTTCTGACCTTTCCTAAGTTGGTATCCTTCGTATTTTAGTTCCTCGTTCTCTCTTCGTAGTAATTCATAATGTTCACGTAAATTCTCCAAGGAAAGTTCATTGACTTTGATGTTAGAAGAACTCATTGTTTATCAAAAATTCCCTTTGACTAAAAACTCAAAAGTCAACCTTAAAAGTCAAATTTAAAAATTCAAATTTAAAAAGTCAAACTTAAAAGTCAAACTTGAAAAGTCAAACCGAAAAGCTAAATTTGAAAATTTGAAAGTCAAACGAGAAAGTCAAAGTTTAAAGTCAAATGTCAAACTTTAAAGTCAATGTCAAAATTTGAGGTCAAAAGTCAAAAATAAAATTTTGGGAGAAAAAGGAATTTAAAAAAGTAAAAGGAAATTGAATTTTGGGTTAAAAGTGGCAAAATTGCGAAACTTGGAACCGAGAGAAGAACGCCTTTTGAATTAAATTTGGGAGGAGAGTAACGTGTGACAAGTTGGTTCAGCTGGTAAGTTGCTTGGTTGAGTTGGGAGGAAACCCGGGTTCGATCCCCGGCACCCCTAAAATCGATTCCCTTTTTTTAATGGAAGCACGCTGCGAGGATGCTGAGATGCGAGGATGAGAACGAAGCGATGCGAGGCTGAGAACGAGACGAAGACTGCACACCGAGCCACACACCGAACTACACACCGATGCCGTACACCGAGCCGCACACTCCGAGCCGTACACCGAGCCGTACACTCCGAGCCGTACCCCGAGAACAGTAAACTGCCGACCCGTACACGTGAGAAGCTGCTGAGCTGCACACCGAGCCGTACACTCCGAGGCCGCATACCTTCAACTGGCCGTACACCTTCAACAGCTCGCGAAAAACGACGTTTTTCACCCGTTTTTCTCCAAAACTCGACCAAAAACTCGTTTTTAGGAAAAACGCGAAGAAAAACCCCCCCATATTTTGCCAAGATCTATCCAAAAACGCAAAAATCCTTCCAAAATAAGATCAAATAAGCTCCAGATATGAAAAAATTGATTGATACAATCCAAGCTCTGACACCACTTGTAAGTCCCAAATCTTCTTGTGTATCAATCAGATCCGTTTGATGGTGTAGAATCCCAATCAAACGGATGATGCCAGATCAATAGAAGAGAAGGAGAAGAAGAGTAACTTGAATCTTGAATGTATTGAAGATATGAATGATGCTCCTTACATAAGATTCACTTTCTCTCACACACACTATTCTTCTCTCTAGTTTCTCTCTCTAGAATATGCTCCTCTTCTCTAGCCTTACACATGCACTCCTCACCTTATATATAGGAGACAGTTGTCCGTACACGGGTTTACGACCGTAAACCCGTGTACGGCCGTACACACAAGCGTAAACACATAATACTTAACAGAAAAATACATTTTCCTAGAAAAGCAAAGTATAAACCTTAATATTGACCCAACACCAACCAAACAAATTGGTTATATGAGATTCGAGGAAAAAATCTAGTGTAATATGCATAAAAAGTAAAGGCATTAACAAAGTAATTCACAAGATTCAGGTTGGAACACGTGCCGAGATCAAAGAACAAACGAGAAGACGTACTAAGCAAACTAGAATTTTCAACTCTACCTCACCTGACCAATAAAGTGTTGGTAGAAATAGTACGAACAAAAGAAATAGACAAAAAACCAGTAATGTTAGTAACAACAGACACAAATGATTGGAGGAAACCAATAATTGAATACCTGATAGAAGGCAAGTTACTCCAGGATGATGAACGGGCCAGGAAATTACGAGTTAAAGCACCATCCTTCGTAGTAGATAAGGGAGTGTTGTATAAAAAGGGATAGTTAACACCTCGTTTACGTTGCGTGGACGGTAAGGAAACAAAATACCTCATAAGAGAGATACATGAAGGAGTTGTTGGAGCACACGAAGGGGCACGAACCATAGTACGAAAAATAGCAATGATCGGCTACTATTAGCCAACAATGTATCAAGACACAGAAAGCATAATTTAAAAATTTGAGAAATGCCATAAGCATGCACCAATCCCAAGAAAATCACCAACACCGATGATTAGCATTACTAGCCCATGACCCTTCATCTAGTGGGGTATAGATATGGTCGGGCCTTTCCTAGAAGCACCAGGGAAAGTGAAATACTTCATAGTCGCAATAGACTACTTCACTAAATGGGTAAAGGCAGAATCGTTAGCTACGATAACAGACTAGAATATCATCAAATTCATTTAGAAACAGATACTCCGCCGCTTCGGGATACACCACACACTAATTTCAGAAAACGACACAAAATTTGCCAACAATCCTTTCCGAGAATGATGCGAAGGACTCAGATTTAACCAAAAATTTACTTTCGCAGCACACCCAGAGGCAAACGGACAAACCGAGGTCACCAACAGAACAACTGTGTATGGTTTAGCAACAAGGATACACGAGGCTAAGGGATGATGGTTTGACGAGTTACAAAGTGTGTTATCGGCATACCGGATGACAGCACGTACGGTGACAAAGGAGACGCCTTATATCCTAGTCTATGGGTCAGAAGCACTACTACTATTAGAACCGATCTTCCTAACAAACTGAACAACAAACATGGATATGGAGAGCAATGATGACGATTTGAGAGCAAACCTAGATGTCACCATGGAACGAAGAGAAGTAGCAGCAATACGACATGAGCATTATAAAAAACAAACGGAGAATTATTACAACCAATGGGTCAAAGGAAAGTGTTTCCACAAAGGTGAAAAAGTACTAAGGAATAATGAAGCTAGCAGACAAGAGCCACACAGAAAGTTGAGATCAATATGGGAAGGTCCATACAAAATTCAGGAGGAAAACAGAGATGGATCATATATTCTACAAACAATGGAAAACGTGATAATACCGAGACCATGTCATGTAAAAAACATACAAAAGTTCTATGTCTAAGTAAGCAAGGGAAAGCATGTTGAATGATATGTGAATGAAGGGAATGAAGAAATTATCATTAAAGTTTGTGTTCACTACAAAGGAAAACATCGAAAAACAAAAAGGGTGCTGCGAACGAATGGAATGAAGCAATTATAATTAAAGTTCGTGTTCATTGCAAAGGAAAACATAGAAAAAAAGGGTGCAGCTACTTCGTACATAGAAAGAACATAGGCTACCTGCTTAGCCAAAGAATACATTTATTCTTTATAAGGCATGTAGCTCGCTAATCCGACTACATTTATAAAGAAGTCGAGTATCAAAACTCCGAAATAGGCTACATGCTTAGCCAAAGAATACATTTATTCTTTATAAAACATGTAGCTCGGTCATCCGACTACATTTATAAACAATTCGAGTATCAAAACTCCGACATAGGCTACCTTCTTAGCCAAAAATACATTTATTCTTTATATAACATGTAGCTCGGTAAGCCGACTACATTTATAAACAAGTCGAATATCAAATCTCCAAAACATGCCACTTATTTTAACTAAAGGATCCACCAAAGCCGCATAAAACACTTAACTAGGCGAATCCAACGCACATACAAAATTTTATACTCAGGAAAATCTATCTCAAAATTGGAAAGTGCCGCCAACAGTTGCAAAAAAGGAACCTAACCACGATAGCAATTACACACCAGGAAAATCTAACAACACTGTCAATATTTAGAGGCAAGATGATACATCTTTCTCCTGGAGACATGCCGCATAGTAAGCTTCAACAAGAGACTTCTGATTCTCTGGCATGACAACCTTAGCCACAATGTCATAATACCGAATTGATAGATTAGCATATATTTCCCTAACCTTCAACAACATCTCTTCACCAACAAGCTTCATGCCTTTGGCAACCCGTAGATTAAACTTGACGACTAGTAACTGATCCCGTAAGGTTAACAACCCATCAAAGAACTTAAGATCTCTTTCAAGCATGGTAGATATGATGTTCTCAACACGGGCTATAAGACGACATGCCTCGTCCAACTCCTCTTCAAACAAAATGAAAGAAGGACGACCATCTGCACTCATCAGAAATATATTACCGATACTACAAAGTTATCATAACACTGAAAAGAGCAGAGATATACATGTATACAACGACAAAACTGCTAAGAAAAAGAAAATGTCTACATATCGGCCATCTTTAGAGTGGCATACTCCGAAGACAAAGAAGATACACTACGAGGGCCTTGGGAAACCTCATGTAAAAAAATTCAAACTGGAGAGGTGTTAGAATCCGCTTACATTTCCGACTAGCACAAGGAACATCTATGGACACACCATCCACAAAACAGGAAGAACCAATGTGTGAGGGAGCAATCAAAGGACAAAAAGTCTCGAAAAGTTGATCAACAGAAAAAGCATCCGAACCAAACCCAAAAAGTATAACAAGAGAGTCAGGAATCACAATTACTGGGTCCATATCTGGGTTCGGAATCACATCATCCAACATAATAACTTCAGGAGGAAATTCACTAGCCAAATATGATGTCAACTGAAAAAGGGCATTTACTCCCATCTACAACATTAAATGAGCGAAGAGGAAAAACATGCAAAAACGACATTTATTTCAAGAGACTACGTGAAACAAAGGAAAAATAAACTATACTAAATCTAGGGATGGTGCAATATTTATATATATTTCTAGGCATTATTTTAATACATTTTAAGCTATAATTTAGTTAAATTCAAAATTTGGTTTATACTTTGCTTTTCTAGGCAATTGTATTTTTATGTTAAGTAATATGTGTTTTCGGTTGTGTTTATGGTCGTGAACAGCTTTACGGCCGTGAACCTGTTCACGGCCCATGTCTTATATATATATGGTGAGGAGTGGTTAATGAGTGAGAGGCTAGAGGGGGGAGAGCACATGGTAGAGAGAGAAAGTTAGAGAGAAGAGAGGAGCTTAAGTGTGTAAGTTGTGTGTGAATCTTGTATTTGGATCTTCATTCTAATCAAATCATACAAGATTCATCATCTTCTTCTTCTCCTTCTTCTTCATTAGATCTGGCATCATCCGTTTGATTGGGATTCCGCACCATCAAACGGATGTGATTGATACACAAGCAGATTGGGGACTTACAAGTGGTATCAGAGCTTGGATTGTATCAATCAATTTTTGCAGATCTGGAGCGTATTTTTGAAGGATTTTTGTGTTTTTGGATAAATATCTGAAAAATAGGGGGGGTTTGTTCTTTGCATTTTTCATAAAAACGAGTTTTTGATTGAGTTTTGGAGCAAAAAGGGGCAAACATCACTGTTTTTTTTTCGTATCTGCGAAGTGTTCTCGGCCTTTGAAGGGTGTACGACCGTAGACCCGTGTACAGCCGTAATCAGTTTACGGCCCGGAGTTTACGGTCCTCGGTGTACGGTTCAGCAGCCTCGCACGTGTTCGGTCATACGTGTTCGGTCTCGTTTACGGCCGACGGTTGATCTTCGTCCTCGCATCGCGTTCTCGGCCCAGCTCAACATCTCGCATTCGCAGCAGTCGTCCTCGCAAGCAGCAACTTACATTTAAAAAAAGAATCCGATTTTGGGGGCTGCCAGGGATCAAACCCGGGTCTCCTACCTCCTCATCCCACGCGTCTTACCAGTTGGGCTAGGCTGCCTCTTGCTTCATTCCTTCGAAATTTAATTCAAAAGGAGTCCTTTCTCGGTTCCAAATTTCGCAACTTTGTCACTTTTAACCCAAAAAATCAATTTCTTTTATTTTTAAATTCCATTTTCTTCCAAAATTTTTAGTTTTTAATTTTTGACTTTTAATTTTGACTTTTTAATTAAAATTTTGACTTTGACTTTCAAGTTTGACCTTTGACTTTGTCGTTTAACTTTCAAATTTTCAAATTTAGCTTTTCGGTTTGACTTTTTAAGTTTGACTTTTTAAGTTTGACTTTTAAGTTTGACTTTTTAAATTTGACTTTTAAGGTCGACTTTTGATGTTTTAAGTCAAAGGGCATATTTTTAAATAATGAGTTCCTCAAACATTCCGGTCAATGAAGTTTCTTGTTCTCAAACTTGCATTAAAACAATTAAAAATTTATGTGAACACATCGATTTATTAAAAAGAGAAAATGAGGAACTTAAATATGAACGGTACCAACTTAGGAAAGGTCAGAAACCGTTGAAAGAACAATTAGAGGCCAAGACTAATGAATTTAAGAAATTATAGTCAGAGTACAGTGACAAATGCGTTCATTATAGATATCTTAAGAAAGATTTTGATGCTGTGACTGCCGAACTTGATGCATTAAAAGCAAAATATAAAGATGTTGAATTCAATTTTAAGAAATTTGACGTGTCAAGTGAGGTAGTTGTGTCCATGATAGAAAAACAATTAACATTTAAAGATAATCAAAACAAGGGTCTAGGGTATCATGATGTTCCACCTCCTTTCAATGATCACTACACTGTTACTCCTTTGACTCAGGAAGAAATAGATAGAGAACCATTTATGGTGTATGGCTAACCCACCGTGGTTGTGCCAGAAAGTGTTGAAATGAAAGATTCTAATGTTTCTCCTTCATGTGCAGGTAAAGTAACAGAATATGAGAACAAGGAGAAAACTATTGAACAAACCAATGTCTCCTTGAACTCTGAACCTGCTGCTTCTAACTCAGTCACTCCTAACAAACCTGTTGCTGAGAAATACAGGCCACCAATTCCAGTGAAACAGAGTGCCTGTTGCAACTGTGCTTGTGGGAACAATAAAAGACAAGGAAAGGATACGCCACCAGGGGCAGGAAGAAACAACTTCTCAGTGAAGAAAAAGACGTGCTTTCACTGTGGAACACCTGGACACATTGCCAGAAATTATCCTAATCGCGCATACGTTCCCTACTACGCACAAGGATGGCAAAATGAGTCAAGAGGGAGATACTACAAAGGAAATCATTCGAGATCACAATCGCGAAATGGCGACTGGAATGCCCAGAAGGCCAAGAATCAAACCCATAAGGCCAAGAATCAAAATCCCAAAGGCAAGAAGGGAATGTCAGGCAAGAAGTCCAATCCAAGAAATGCTCCAGTGAAACAAAGACCGGTTAGGTCAGAATCATCTCGGCAGTCGACTTCAAGTCCAAAAGCAAATACCGAGGCACCCATCCGATCCAACAAGAAATGGGTTAAACCCGATTACAGATGGGTACCAAAGGTTCAATCTCCCAAATCATCTAATGCGTCTAATATTTCTACATCTTTTATTTGTGATAAAAAGGATATGTCATGGGAGAAAGTACCTTGCAAGGATGAAAAAGGTCGACCCAGTTTCAAAATGGACTGGGTTCCAAAGACCAACTGATCCCGCTCTGTGTCGGAACAGCTATGGAGGCATATCATCAGACTTCGGTTTGTTGGTAGTGGCCGTTCCTGGCACATGATAGGAGGCATCTCTCAATTGTACAATATTCAAAACTTTGTTTGAGAGTATGTGTCCTTTGCGGGAAAGGAAGAAAGGAAGGGATCACTCATGGGGTCAGTGCTTAATGACATGAAGAATTTTCGGATCTGTTCTGAGATTATGCGTGCTGTTCTCAGACCTTCTGGATGCAAATTCAATCGGTGAATTACGGTTTGAGTTTTCTTCTCGGTACTCTTGAGTTTATCTTACACTGATTCGTTTTGAAGACAATATTTTATTTTCTTATAGTTTTTCGTTAGTAGGTATTATTGGGAAGTGATATCAAGATAAAGTGATAACGGGCAGTCTAAAACATGTGTAAGGGACTGAATCTGAATTGTCTAGACTCTGTGTTCAATGTGCTGGTAGGCACGAAGGATTTGGCAGTGTGGATTTAGATAGGATTGTTTGGACCGAACATACGACGCTCGGGTAGATTGAGTAGTGAGATAAACATGGGAACCCACAGGATACACTAAATTAATACACATCTAGAACTATGGTTCAACTTTTCCTCGATGTACGGACTTATGTCCTTAATTCTGATTCTGATAGGGCGACTGGGGGTTCTGATAAAGTACATCTATAGGAAATTATTTTCTTGCTTACTATCTATCAGGCATATGTTGCTTCCTCTGCGTGATTGGAAGAGATCTGACCTAGAATGCAACATATGCAACTCTATTTCTATGCATATTCTTAATCTGTGCAATTCTTCCTATTTGTGAGCCATATGCTGTCTCCTCTGCGTGATTGAAATGATCCGAACTGGAACACAGCATATGCAATATTCTACCTCTCAATCCCTCTATCTCTGTTAGTCATATGTTGTCCCCTCTGTGTGATTGAAAGAGATCCGACCCGGGACACAACATATGCACCTATTTCTAAATCTGACTTCCTCCTTAATAATTGTTTACTCACCTAAAGTAAGGAGTTCTTTGGAAGTTCTTGATAATCAGGGTATATCGGGAAGTGGGAAACATGTTCTAGTACATCTAAAATTGAACCCATTTAATAGGTTGTATGTAGATCTTGCTGCTTAATTTAAGTGGACAACAATATCCTTGGTTGTCGTCAGCTAAATGTCCATTTAGGAATATACATCACAATGACTTGTCACTTATAATCTGTCCAAATTGTCAACATATTTTGTGTTTAAGTGGACCACAATACCGGTGATTGACCTGATCTAGACATGCAGGTGTGTGTTGATAAACGATATTGGATTGCTTGACAACTTTGATCCCAAATATTTTTTGTTTTTGTTAAATTTGTTCATAGTTTTCTTCTATGCACAAATTTAGGGGGAGAATTAAAAAAAAATCAGAAAAATTAAAAAAAAATTCCAATTCTGTTTTATTTATTGTTCAGAAAATAAAAAATCCAAAAATATTGTGTGTTAAGTTTTCTTTTAGTTTTGTTTTGTCTTGAAAAGTGAATTCAGGTGTATACGTGACTCATGGAGACTGTGTCGAAAATTTATGAGCCAAGGCTTCGTCCGTGATCATCGAAGAATTCTCATTCTAAGGAGCAAGAAATGAAGATTATTCTTTCAACAATCAATCCTTCAACCCCAGAAGCAAGGTCAAGCTGTACTTGAAGATTATGTGACAGATTGCATTGAAGCCTACTCAATCAATTTGCTGATATCTATGTAAGTGATCCAGAAGATTAGATCTCTCTATTGTTCTCTCTGAAGATTCTCAAGCTGGAACCGCCATCTTTCAAGAATCTTTTCAAGAAGCCTCCTTACCGAACGTGATTTCAGAGTCAAATTTTAAAGAAAATCCCAACTGCTCAAGATGAAGTCATTCATTGAAGATTCATCAAGTTCATCTTGAAGCTGTGAAGAATTTGAAGATTAATCCTGTAGCCAAGCTCCCAATGAAGATTAACAAGAAAAGCCAGCTACTTTTTAGGGGGAGCTTGTTGTGTCAATTAGAAAAGAAAGCTATAAACCAAGGGGGAGATTGTTGGGTCAAAATTTGGTTTATATTTTGCTTTTCTAAGGCAATTGTATTTTTCTATTAAGTAATATGTGTTTTCGGTTGTGTTTACGGCTGTGAACCTGTTCATAGCCCATGTCTCATATATATATATATATATATATATATATATAT